CGCAGTGGTTGAGAGTCTGCCTGCCGATGCAGGGGACGCGGGTTCGTGCCCTGGTCCGGGAGGATCCCACATGCCACGGAGCGGCTGGGCCCGTGAGCCATGGCCGCTGGGCCTGTGCGTCCAAAGACTGTGCTCCGCAAAAAAAAAAAAAAAAAGATACAGGGAAATGTCTACATAGAGGAACACATTTTTTCCCTTTGCCTCAGGCAAGACATTGCTTTCTAGTCTAGTCCTGGGAAAAAACCTGCACTCCCTCCTGCTTCTCTAGTTCCTGTGCCACTGTCTGCGAGTTCTCTTTATCTACTCTGTAAATCCTCCACATTCTCCTAAGGGACTGGACTTTTGGCTCAATGGTGTGATGTTAACATTTATCCTTGTTGACACATATAGTTCTAGTTCATTTTTTACTGTTTCATTTATTTCTGTGTATGGATGTACTATAATTTATCTATGCATTTTGCAATTGATGGACTTTTGTTGTTGGTGGTGATGGTGGTTTTCTTTTGCTGTTTCAAAAATGCTGATTGTACATGTCTCCTTGGGCACATTTTCAGGAGCGGAATTGGCGCATCTCAGGGCAGTGGCTCATCTTCAACTTCACTAGATTTTGCCAAACTGCTCTCCACAGTGTTTGCCCCAACTTCCACCCCCGTCAGAGCGCTGACCGTTCGCACTCCACATCCTCTCCAGTACTCGATATTGTCAGATTCATCTTTTTGCTGATCTGATGGGAGTGAAACTTGCCTTTCTGTGGATGCTATTGAAGTTAAACATCTTTTTAAAGGACTATTGACCGTTTCTCTTTCATGCCTGATATTTTTCTTATTTGTAGGTTCCCTCCTTCATCTTAAGTAATCTTGCCTGAGGTTTGTCTGTTTTATGATCTTTTCAAAGAACTAGTTTCGGTCTTTGTCAGGGCTTCCTATTCTCTGTTGTTTTACCATGTCATCAATTTCTGCTCTTATTATTTCTGCCTTCTGCCTTCTTTGTATTTTTGCTGTTGCTCTTTAATTTCATGAGTTGGATGTTTAGCTCATGAGTCTTTTTTCTTTTCTAATATGAGCATGTAGGCCTATAAATTTCCCTTTCAGTACTACTCAGATGCATCCCACTCATTTTAATATGTTATAATTCTAAGAATTTTCTAATTTCCTTTATGATTTTTTGGCTCAGGAATTATTCAGGAGCTTCAAACCTGTGAAGTTTGTTAGTTATATCTTTTAAGTTCTTGATGTCTAAATAAATTGCACTGTGGTCAGAGAACATGGTTTGTATGTTACAGATTATCTAAAGTTTGTTGCAATTTACTTTTCACCTAAGACAAGACCAGTTTTGGTAAATGCCCACATTTGCTTGAAAACAGTGAGTATTCTCTAATTATTGGGTGCTGAGTTCCATATATGACTATTAGATCAAACTTATTAATTGCATGTTCAAATCTTATATATCATATTAATTAGTATATTGTCTGCTTAATTTATTAACTTCTGAGAGAGGAATGCTAAAAATCACTGACTATTCAATTTCACTTCAATTCCACAAATATTTGTTGAGTATCTACTATGTACCAAAAACTATTTGAAACCCTTATATCAGTGAACAAAATAGTCAGTTCCTTGACCTTATGGAACTTAAATTCTAGTGGAACAGATAATAAACAATAAAGATTATGTAGGGTAAATTATATGTTAGAAGGTGATTAGTGATATGGAAAAAATAAAATACAGAGCAGAGTAAGGGGGACCAGATGAGCAGGAGGGTGGGGTGAGCTACAGTTTTAAATAGGATAATAGGGTAGATGTCTTTGAAAAGGCAAAATCTGAGCCACAGCTTGAGGAAGGTGAGATTGACCCATGCATAGAAAAGAGTGTTCTGGAAGAAGAAACAACTACTGCAAAGGCCCCGTAGGGGGGCGGGGGGGAGTACCCATTAGGAAGCCGGTGTGGCTAAAGCTAGTTGACCAAGGGAAGCATGGTTAGTAGGGAGGTCAGAGAGTCAATGGGGCCAGAACACACACAGCCTCCCAGGCCACCGTTAGTACTTTAGCTTTTACACTGAATGGAATGGGTGCTGTGTGGGGTTTGGGACAGAGGAGGGAAAGGATCTGACATATTTTAAAAGGATCACCTTGGCTGTTGTACTGAAATTAGACAGGCCTGGTTAAAAGCAGGGAGTCAGTAAGAGATTATGCCTGATTTTTAAAATCCTAAGTTAGATCAATACCTTTACTCACTTCCTAAATAAAGCTTCAACTCTATTCATCTCTCTTGGCTTGTGTTACTGTCATTCACAATTTTACTTCCATTTTGTTTATATACCCTCCAAACCAGTCTCAGTCATCATTATTATTATTGTTGTTGCTTTATACGTATTTTTTTTTTTACTCATACACTTATCAATTTATTTGTTCACAGTTCCTGCTTGTTTCTGTTCTTCCCTCTGTGAAGAATTTCCTTCTTCTAGTGGCATATGCTTTAGACTTCCTTCAGTGAGAGTCTGTTAGTGGACAATTCTACTTGTATTTCTTTATTTTGAGTGATAGTGTAGCTTTTTTCCCCTCTATCTTCTGGCTATTATTACTGTTATTGGAAAATCTGCTTTTAAATTTAATTGTGATTCCTTTGCCTTTTCTCTCTGATTGTTTTAAATTTTTTCTTTGTCTTTGGTATTCTGAAGTTTTATTATGCTATATGTGAATGTGGAATTCTTTTTCTGTTTGTTTGGTTTTTGCTGGTTGGTTGGTTTTGTTTTTGGCCCCACTGTGTGGCTTGTGGGATCTTAGTTCCCCGAATAGGGATCGAACCCCAGCCCTGGCAGTGCAAGCACCAAGTTCTAACCACTGGACAACCAGGGAATTTCCATTGGTTTGCTTTTAAAATTCTGTTCAACACACGACTATATATAAAATAGATAAATAACAAAGTCCTACTGTACAGCACAGGGAACTATATTCAATATCTTGTAATAACCTATAATGGAAAAGAATCTGAAAAAGTATATATATATATATA